AATTAATTGATTGACCTCCCCAAGGGAACCCTGTCAGTAGTGCACCTACCCCTATCTCACCCATACTTCATACTAAACTGGAATACCTGTCTAACCCAATGTAGTTTGGCAGTTGCGTGATATTTTTCAGTCTCTGAAAGATGCGTGACGTTTCTGTGTGTTACATTAACGTCACGCATTTGTCAAAGCGTCAAAAACGTCAAAAAACTGTCAAAACTACGTCGAGTCAGGCAGGGGTTCCAGTTAAGAATAAAGCATGGGTTAGTGCTGTAGGTGCACTATTTCTGTCATTGAAAGTGTGTTGCGCTTGCAACCCGTTCTGGCACTAAATGTGGTCCTGCACTGGTTTGTCTTGTAGTGCTGCGGCCCCTTGGAATCCGAGTAGTACCCGCATTGAACCTGTAGTCGATACTGGTTGTCTCAGATGTGCCGGGGTTTCTTGAGAGATGCCTTCTAGCCGAGAAGAAACATGTTTGTGCTTGCGAAAGAACTACCGAATAACACTCGCCCAAATAAGTTTAATTCGTTTGTCGAGGTATCAAATATGCTACAGTACTGTTTACGCCAACTATCAACTTAGTGCAAATTCGAACGTTCCATTTGGGGGTGGGTGGGTGGTTGAGAGGGTAGAAAAGACAGTGAAGTGGAAGTAGTCAGTCTAAATTCACTTTCACTCTCATTTGAAAAAATAGTTCGTATAATATATATTTTTTAAGTTTTGGTCTGATTCTGGTGGATTTCCGACCAAATAGTATAAATTCATGTTCCGAAATAAAAACCTGAATTTGAGTTCATAAAAAAAAACTGATGGCTTGGTCATTATACAGGAAAAAAACAAAAAATACTCTTTCAACCACTTTGGAGACCTGCAGAACATCTCTTTCCAAAGACTCGTTCATCCAACGAGCAGCGAGGCTCTGGAATACATTGTCAAGGGAGGTGTCCCCCGAGGCATATAATCTCCACTCCAGAAATTCAAAAAGAACACCAATTCCTACCTAATTTCCCTTGTTTCTCACGATGTTCTCTGAACATTACAGGATATTCCTTTTCGTGGGAACCAGAACATAAATAAAACATAACACCCTGTGGCAAAAGTGAGTGGTTGTAAACTCAGATTTATCATGTTTTAGATTGGAGTGCGATTCCTTCTCAACACAATGATTTCTAATTCATGTCAATATTTCCTTTATGAGAGAAGAAACTAGTGTTTTGAGAAAATATGAATTTCTCAAGCAGTCTTGTGGAAACGCTTCTAATTCTTTTTGGATGGCAAGGTAAGGCTAGGCCGGACGAAGACGAATACGCCCCGAGTTAATTTCGAAGATGCTCTATAGTAACGGTTCTTATACTTTTCTGGTAACGAAACTTCCTGAACAACTAAATTTTCAACGGAATCCTAGGCTGAAGGCAAAGAAAGCAGAACCAGTTACATGTGTATCGTTTCTCAATAATCATACAAAAAAAGGTAGATACAGTAAGCAGTATATTAGTGAGAAAATGATGATACTGAATTTCATTTGATAGGATACATAAGATTGTTCTTGTTCCTCATCAACTGGGTGATATCAGGCTCAATAGAAGAAAGTTGAATGGTCATGTGAGTTTCGGAATTCAGTTTATATACGGGATTTTGTTGTTTTAGCTGTTTCATTTTGAAATATTTTTGAATCACTGAGACTAAGGCGACTAAGGAACCACTTAGCACTCAGCGGAGCCCTACCCAGAGGCTTTGCGGAGCACACTATGGTTAACGCTGCTTTATAGGTTCTAAATCACCTTGGGTCTCAACATCAACACCAACAAAGCTTGTGGCTCCGACGAAATCCCAGCAATCCTCAAGAAATGTGATCCCGAACTAACACTTGTTCTCTGCAAGTTGTTCAACTACTCTTACAAATTGGGGATATTCCCGTCCAACTGGAAAATTGCAAGAGTACAACCAGTCCCTAGAAAAGGCGAAAAGACCCCACCTAGCAACTACAGACCGATCGCACTGCTATCTATTATTTCAAAGATCATGGAGGAAGCTATCAACATCGAGCTCATGAATTACCTGGAACATTCAGGTATTATCAACGATAGGCAATATGGCTTCCGTCATCAGAAATCAACTGATGACCTGCTCGCTTACGTCTCACATATATGGCAACAATCTATTGAAAATTATGGTGAAACGTCAGCCGTGGCACTTGATATCTCCAAGGCATTCGATCGAGTCTAGCACCATGGACTCCTCGCCAAACTTCCATCTTATGGCTTGCCTCCCCAGCTAGGTATTCTCTGCTGGGTAGTATTCTCCCAAATAGGTCTCTCCATGTAGTGGTCGACGGAGTTTCATCTGCCTCTCTTATCATAAATGCTGGTGTTCCGCAAGGATCAATTCTAGCTCCAACACTTTTTCGAGTCCATATCAATGATCTGTTGGAAGCAACTCCATGTCCAGTACACATCTTCGCGGATGATATACCCTCCATACCGACTTCTCCTCCAGGATTCCAATACCAGCCAGCCTCGCAGCCAGCCAAATAAGAAACGAACGAGGAAGAAATGTTGACAACATAAATATGGACTTGGCAACAATTCTCGGATGGGGATCCAATAACTTGGTAGATTTCAATGCAAACAAAACACAAGCATGCATTTTCTCTAGAACAGCCGATCTCACTGTGCCCTCCATAAGCTTGCCACGAGTAATCATACCTTTGAAGACATCCATCTCAATGCTTGGTATTACTATCAGCGATAACCTTTCTTCGGAAAAATCACGTGAGATCAATTGCTAAAAATGTATCCCAAAAACTTGGCTTCCTGTTTCGGGTCAGGAGCTATTTCACTTCCAGTTAGTATGATCTGTAAGGCACAAATCCGACCTGTCCTGGAATACTGTTCCCATATTTGGAGTGCAGCATCCAAATATACCCTGAAACTGTTGCATTTTGTCCAAAAAAGGGCAATTCGTCTCGTGGGCGATGCCTCGCTCACAAACTCACTCATTTCTTTGGAGCACCGTAGAAAAGTTGGCGATCTGGCTCTATTCTATAGATATTTTCATGGACGATGTTCTTCTGAAATATCAACAATTGTTCCTTCCTTGGCAGTCCCCGCGAGATTAACCCGTCGTGTTGAGGCTTCGCACCCCTTCGTGGTCACTTTGGAGACCTGCAGAACATCTCTTTCCGAAGACTTGTTCATTCAATGAACAGCGAGGCTCTAGAACACATTGACAAGGGTGGTGTTCTCCGAGGCATAGAACCTCCAGAAATTCAAGGAGAACACCAATTCCTACCGTATTTCCCTTGGTTCTCACGATGTTCTCTGAACATGACGGGATATTCCTTTTCGTGGGAACCAGGACATAAAAAAATACATTTACTTGAAATTAAAAAAGTTCATACGTCCTTGTAATACTTGTATCTTATTCTCTTGAAAATAAGATATTGAAGGGGAGCAAAAATCATAGTGTGTAGAAGGAATTGTACTTCAATCCAAAACATAATGAGTAAGATAAGTTTTACCACTCGTTTTTATCGCGGGACGTTGAGAAGTTAAGAGTGAAAAAATAACTTTTTCTTCCCTGTATAATGATCAAGTCATCAGCTTTTCATGAAAACTTGAATTCATGCTTACAATCGGAGGAGCATTTGAAAGATTACAGGACGAACAATTTGGCTAAATTTTCGTCTAGTCGGTATCTTTTGTCGCTGAGCATTTATTCACAAATCAGTCAATAGAATAAAATAGGTAACTACTATCTATTTTCTAAAATATCAACTTTGGGCACATTACACGTGATTGTGGTTCTACTGGTTCTACTGCATTGTTCAATGAATGTGATAGATGATCCCTGAACCTATTCTCATCGGACTGATTGTTTGACCTGCATATGTTTTCATGAAATATAGATTCATTAGAGAGATGTTGCATCTTCTTTGGATAATAATTCTATGAAAGCGATAGTTGAGAATAGTACTAGATTATAAATAGTGATAGAGTAATTTAGTGATTCAGATATACACAATTTTTTTTTTTATTCTATAACACTTAACACGTTGCAAAGTGCTTGATCTACCTCTACAAACGAATATTCTTCGTTGAAATTTGATATTATTGACGTAGTATTTATACTAACATGATTCATGATTTAGGTAACGTTAAAATCAGTTTTCGGGAATGGTTCAACAAAATCTTTTATCAACTGAAAGTCAAACTGATTCATGAAACAATAAAGAGATGGTTCACCAACATATCCAGGACATATCTCTGTAGCAAAAGGAATGCACATCATGATTGTGATCGAATGACTAGAATGGCATGTGCAGAGAATGTTATATATATGCTTGTCTGTTGTTGCATTATTGTGATCTAGAACTTATATTGGTAGGATAGAAAGTGGGTGACGTCACATAATCATCCCAACATGAACTGGAAGAAATTTGGAATATATAAATTCTCCATATACACATCTGTTTCAATATCCAAAGACAAAGTTGATTTTTGTGCCCATGGTACGGATGATATTTGATTTATATCGATCGATGATATTCGTACCGTGGAAAGCGATGTAGGAATGTTAGAAAAGACTCAAATCAATTTCTTTAAATAACATTATGTTCCGAAATTGCTGAGACTTTTGAATCATCGATTTGCTCTTCAAAGGTTCTCTTATTTTGTCGAATAAAATGAATACATTTAGTAGCTTCCACCTAAGATTGTAAAAAAAAGTTACATTTTATGTTAGGTTATGTTCAATTGTGACGACACTGCCCTTCAATATGAAGCAACTTCTGTTTCACTCGGGATATGACTATTTTCGCATTCTGATCCTCAGAAACGACTAGACAAGGTATTTTTCATCAAATTTCGAGCAGCCAAATCTGAGACAACCATATAAGATAGAGTCCTGCACACGTATGATTAGGAATTGAATGTGAGCGCTGTATGGACGATGCAGAGGAAGTTGGACACGCGACCTAATCTTGGTGTTTTCTTCTTTCAAGATTCCGCATTTTCTGTCACTGGCTATGCAACCACAGTTATTTTAGCAATTTCATTCTGGTTTGTATCATGGTGTCGTCTGCTTTACTCGCAGTTGAAGATCCGATCGACGCAGATTCGGATACTAACAAGGTGAGTACAATAAGGTATAGTTTATCCAAAAACAATTGCAGATTCTCGTGCCGCACCTGCAGTCACTTCAAAGGAAACTTCATACACGCCGACGCCGCACAGTGCGAGATATTCTGCAATTGATATTGGATATACGTTACCAGGTGACAAGTTATTGGGGATTACCTCTTATATTGACAGTATAAAAAAATCAGAGGGATTTTCTGAGGGAATATATAAAGAGCAGCAAAAGCTATATGAGTTTCAAATAAAACACCCAATCTCAGGCAACCAGATGACGAATGATCACGTCTCTGTGACTTCCCTAATTGCTGTCACACATCGATTCATGACGTCACTATAGCGTACTTTCTATGACGTGATAATCACGTCATCCATCTCGACGTCGTGTGAACGTCACTTAGGAGGGTGAAATTAGACGTCAGTTTCATGACGTTGCAGGGACGTCCTGTCGACGTCCATGTTTTGACGAACCCATGTATACAGGATGAACATTTTCAGTGTCGAAAAGTTTTCAGAAGTAATCGTTTTTTCATTAATTTTACACATATATAGAAACATGTACGCCTTGGCAATTTTATATACAGTGTGTCCACCTTAAGGACTTACCACCCCTGTAAAATTGTTATTATCTAACCGATTTCAAAAAACTTTTTTTTATAGGTATTTGAAATGTCCATCCAACAAGAGAGTGATTTTACTCATGAACTGAAATCGTGGCCAACTGCGACCAACTTCATTGACCCATATTTGAGAAAGTACTATTAGTGATTTTTTTTCACAAAAATCAATGATGGATTCTGAATCACGATCACTTGAAAAACACCGTTACTGATTTTTATCATCACGAAACACAGGGTACCCGAAAAACCGAATTATGTTTTTTTTAATAGGTGATCAGAAAATGTATAATTTTGGGATTTTTGAGAAGAATTGATGACACATTATTATTGAGGATCACTTCGAACATATCTGTACCGATTTTCATCATTCAAAAATACGATATGTATGAGAGAAAAAGTAGGCAATATTTTTTCATCTACTCAAAAATAATAATAATTTGATTTTTCGAACACCCTGTGTTTAATGATGATGAAAATCGGTACAGGTATAATCCAAGTGATCCTGATTCATCTTTTTATTTCGAGTGAAGAATAATCAGGATGAAAAATATTGCTTACCTATTCTTTTTAATGTTTTTCTCAGACACATTGTATATTCAAATGACGAAAATTGGTACAGGTATATTTGAAATAATCCTCAATGATAATTTGTGATTATTTCTTTCTAGAGAAACCACAGAACTACATTTGCTGATCACCTATTTGAAGAAAATGATGATTCGTTTTTTCGGACACCCTGTGTTTTATGATGATGGAAATCGGTAAAGGTGTATTTCGAGTGGTACTGATTCAGAATCCATCATCGAGATTCGTGGAAAAAAATCCCTAATAGTACTTTCTGAATTATGGGTCATTCAAATTTGTCGCAGTTGGCCACGATATCAGTCTAAGAATAAGATCACTCTCTCGTTGGATGGGCATTTCGAATATCTATCCAACAAAAACAGGTTTTTTGAAATTGGTCGGATAATAACGATTTTACAGGGGTGATAAGTCCTTAAGGTGGACACACTGTATATGCTTCTAACGTCGATAGAAGTATAACTCAACATCAAATGCAAGTTTTATTAGAATTATATGAGTATACCCAAAAAGTAAGAGAAAACTTTTTTCGAACTTTGACACCCTGTATAGCTATAGGAAACCAATCAAGCTATATATGTATATAATCAAATGATAATATAGGTGTAACAATATTGGAACCGTCACTCTCATGACGTTGCAGTGACGTATCTATGACGTCTAAAAATCACGTCGGTGTGACGTACCAATTTGGTGAGCTTCGTAATTCAGAAAATTGTTCAATAATTTGCTATTTAGATTTCTGTTGGGTGACAAATAATGCATGAATATACGTTACTCAACAAAGTGAAGCTAAATTCGACAACATCCTTTTCTTTGCTATCAAACTATTCTTGGTTTGCTTACATCTCGCCGATACAAACTACATAATTCAGTATAAGAATACGAGTAACTGATTTCATTCTGATGGAGATGCGTATATTGAGGGATAGTACTGCTGAATAGACGATTGAATACACATGACACCGGAGCTAGGGATGACCAAGCAGACTCAACAATGCATAATCAATATTATATATAATCAGAGGTCACACTATGTTTGAGCAAACTTTTTCACTTGTTATCACCGAATATGAACGTCATTTCGACGCCAGTCCGACGTCACAGTTTGGTGAGTGAATGACGTCAACAAACGTGAGTAATATGACGTCATTGGGCTGTGAATTTTCCACGTCATTCATGACGTCATACGACGTCAACTCCTGACATCACCTTGGTCATTCAACTGACGTAAAAGACGTTACTAAAACGTCATCTGGTTTCCTGGAATATTCCACAAAATTGGGAAGACCTCCGGAAGAGTGTTGCGAAAATATATGCCTCTTAATATATTTATCTTTCGTATTAGGTGATGGATTGTCGATTTCTTGTAGGTGCTGTCAACATTCGACGTATTTTTCACAGTGATATTTTCGATAGAACTGATGCTGAAAACCACTGCATATGGATGTATCTTACACGAAGGTGCCTTCCTGCGCTCTGCCTTCAACATGTTGGATTTGCTGGTTGTTTGTGTGTCGCTAGTATCGATATACAACAGGTAAACAAATATTTTCACTCGAACCTATTTATTTTTCAATTCCACACATGCTTACACTTCCACCATCAGAGGTAACAAGTCATTTGATTACTTTTATTCGTGTTTCAGTCAAGGCGCTATGAGCGTAGTGAAAATTCTCAGGGTTTTGAGGGTGCTCCGACCACTGAGGGCAATCAACAGGGCCAAAGGTCTGAAGGTATGTATCCACTGAAATGGAATTTGTGTGAATGATCCGATCGGATTGGCGTGATGTTACGTGAATAAATAAAAAATGTATGGCGCAGCTATTTCCAAGACAAATGTAAAAACTTCACACAAACGATAAGATTTCCACAAAATTCTCAAAAACACGACATGTTTCGGTAAAACAGTAGCTTCGTCAGGTGATATACTGGTACGATGAGCTAAAATAACCTTGGCTTGCTTATATATCCTACTTTCCCAACCTGGAGGATTAGTTACCTAGGGTTGATCGCGAATACATATTATTATACCTTCTAAGAAAACAAATTCAACAGTGGTGAACCATTGAGGTCTAATAGATCGTTAAGTTAAATGTCAGAATTTTTGAGTTCGTTGATTTCTAATGATTCAAAATGATTGAGTTTCATTCCATTATTTTCTACGTGTAGAATTTCGAAATTATCATCAAAACTATGATTTTCTTGTGTGAAGATAGCAAAGTTATGGATATAAGGCAATTGTATTATTCAGTATCATTCTCAAGTACAAAAAAAATTAATATCATGATCGATTACTCACTCATAACTACATCACACGGCAGAGACATCATCATACGTTTCCACGAATGACCAAGTCCACTTGCCAGTGAACCTTCATCTACATTGCACCAAGGGCGTATAATTCACTTCCTGAAGAACTAAAAGTACCAGCTTGCTTCAAAACCTTCAAATACAGATTAAAAAAATTTATACAAGAAAATTCAAGAGCGTGGTGCAACGACATCATAGAACTGAGAACCTGAATAATGCTTCTTTACATACCCTCAATTCTAGATCACCTACATACTTTGTTGTTGATAACATATGTTCATAAATACTGGGCTGGTGGCCGTGAGCGTAGAGTCGCTGGCTGTTGCCCAGGCGGTCCGGGTTCGATCCCCGGCGCGAGCACTGAATTAATTTTCGGTAGTTTCGTTGGGCGGGAGGAGATAGGTGGCCAACCCAACATTCTTGGTACCTAGATATCAATCCTTTGGACTGTCCACGGTTACCAGCCGAGTAGTGCTTCGGATGACACTTAAAAAGCTAAGGTCCCCGTCTTCTTAACTCACACAAGTCTCTGACTTTCGAGGGTTGCTTTGCAACTAAGCTGGCGGTTAAAAACACTTTTAAACACACTTTTAAACACACTTTAAACACTTATGCATTGATTTTATTCTCGATTTTATTTCTAAATATTTAATATTTCATAATTATTCATCTCAAGTTTGTTTTATTCTGCATTCTGTTTTTGTTAGAGTTGTTCTTGACTCTGTTCTGTTCAACTGATGTGGAGATGCATCATCTTATTTTCATGTCTTTATCTGAGTCTAATATTAGATAAGTATCTCGAAACAAGTATTTATTTACTTATCGAGTATCTTTCATTTATTTTTTTCAATTTTTAATTCCTTTCTATGTACACTGTTTTGTTCTGGAATGAATTAATATATTATTATTATTATTATTATTTCTTCTAATATCACCTGACATGTCGTGTGCTCGAGAATTTTGTGGAAATCTTATCGTTTGTGAAGTTTTCACATTTGCCATGTATTTCCAACAAGTAACGGCGGAGTCAATTCGAAATTTCCGAGACAGTTTCAGATGTAACATTATTTTTTCTGCAATGAAAAATCCAAAATGCTCAAAATGAAATGATGAATGAAAAACAAAACTCAAAACTCCTGACTAATGCCACGCAGAACATTGAATTACATCCTGAAATCTATGCATCGATTCGTATAACCAAATACTGCTGCAAGTGCTTCTTAATGCCGATTGATTTCGATTTAGCCAGGTTAACCCTCGACACCTACAGAGCTGTTTCGGCCCTAACCTAACGGTTAATCAGGTATTTCTGACTGCGATGGGAATTTGAGTTTTTTAAGTGCTTATTTTTTTCTACTCTAGATGGCGTTACACCCATGTTGCCGACGGGAGACGCTTCTGAGGGAATAACATGCCGATTTGATTTTCGTTAGGCAAGGTTACGCTCAGCTAATGAGAGCCAAAAGCTCTGAACCGGTCTGTGGGATCGAGCGGTCACCTGGCTACATCGAAATCAATCGGTATTGGGAAAAGAAACACTTGCATTTATACGAATCGATGCATAGATTTCGAGATAATGATATTCAATGTTCTGCGTGGAATTAGCCAGGCATGTAGTGTTTCCTCGCGTAATCTAACATTGTTGTTCATTTCATGAACATTCGTGGAAATGACTGAAATTTGTATTTTATTCATTATTTTTCCAATTTAGTGCCATCTGTCGTCCAGGAAATGATAGTGTTTTGTCATTATCATCGGAATACAATTTTTCCTATTACAGTCAAGCTATTCAGAAGAGAAGAAAAAATGATGTAGAGATCAGAAAATAGTCGAAAAACCTGCCATTTTCAAGTGTCTCAAATAATTTTGTTTGAAACTCAATAAATGAGCATTAAATTTACATCTGTCATAACGATTTCTGAAATATTTTTGTCGATAGTGCTATGGGCTTTTTAGTTTGTTTATTATTGGTGATAACAGTATAAATCTACGTCACTTCACGCCAATGTCGATTCAGAGTTTTATAACCTAGCTAGCCGATCGGACTGAGACTGATCAAAAACCTAGGAGGCGGTGAAGCTCAAGATCTGACAAATTTATTCATTGTAAAAACTTCACAAACGACATGATCCACACAAAACTCGATAACTCGACATGTTCCGCGAGAATTTTGTGGAAAGTTAATCGTTTGTGGAGCTTTCACAATCACTATGGATTTCCATCAAGTACCATCCGAGTCAATCCAAAATTTGAATATATTTATCTCTAGCACGTAGTCCAGTGTGTGATTGTCGCGGTAAAGACCATCGGCAACATAGTGCTGGTCACTTGCCTCCTTCAGTTCATGTTCGCTGTAATAGGAGTCCAACTATTCAAGGTAGGCACCAGCGGTCCCTTGTTGTTCAAGCAAATGCACCTATGGGTTCCCCTACTGTCGGCCCTCGGCGAACGTTAACCCCCGTGTCGGGAGCGGATTAACCCGCATGCGCCCCTCTCAGCTGTATTTACGCGTGTGTGTTTGTGGGCCGAGGCTAGACAGTCCGTCCAGTGTCTCTGTTGCCTTTTCCGCAGCGTCCCGTCGAAAAGCCGCACTTGTAGTCATATCTAGGGTAAAGTTCCGCTCGGCGATCTGTGTCGGCGAGATGGAAGCTAGGATCTAGGTTGGGGCATTGCCGGCGCGGCTGTTCCTCTTCAGATACCCTGGGTGCATTTGACGTCCTGGTTGGCTGTTCGATGCCCGTATACAGGGTCGTTAGCGACGAGTGTCCGTTAGGAAGGTCATGGAGAACCGAACAAAGAGACTTATGGCTGCCTAGTCTGGTGGTCTGAGATGGAGCTAAACAGGCCGCAATGACACTTCCAAGTGCAAATGCTAGTTTATTTAAGTATCAGGAGTTATGAACAGTACTTTCACTGAAGCCGTGAAAATCAACCTGGGGACCTCTTGATATCTTCATTTATAGGCAGAGGTGAGGATGTTTCCCCAGTGGCTGTCTGAAAACAAAACCTTCATGATTTCGCCAGCAAATATACAGTTCGTTTGGAACTAAATATTCATAACTTTGTCTTGTTGCCTGTAATTTTGGTTTTTAACGCAATATGAGCATATCTTCAGGAAGACATGAAGTCGACTAACGTTTCAATTGATATAGGCCTGAAAACCCTCACTTTCATGAATTAGGAGTCCCCTGTTCTTTTTTGTTTGGTTCTTCATATGAACACTTCTAATGGAAGCTCGTGATGAGTGTAGGAACCGGTGAAACTTTCACGCTATTATTTTCTTCACATTTTATTGTTGTGTCAAAAATGTGAACTGTGAAAGTGAAATTCTATCTGACCGATTTCTCAGTATCAACTCGTGTGTCAAAATAATCAGTAGTCAAAAACCAAACCTGTACTAATCTCGTAGCCACATATCTCCTGTCAGAATTATCATAAAACTAATGAGGTTCCTACAAAATTATTCAACTCCTCCAGTTAACAAACTCATGAAACATAAAAAGGATGCGATTAAGGAATTACAAAAAATGCACTGTCTCCCCGACTGATATTCCACCCGGCATTATTGGTTCCATTATTGTGGCGTGAGATCCAGCCGATTCGAGAATGGGTTTGTTTTCTTATCGGTGGTCGATACAGCAATAAAATCTGTATATGAAAGTTCGCTTATGAGACTGATACAGACATCCACCAACCTCAACTTTTTAACTTTCAACTGTATGAACAATTCCGATGATCAGGTCAGATATGAAGTTGCATCATAAACAATTTTTTTCAATACAATTATTCTTCTAACCGATACCGATGTGATCAACACAGCAGCGAAATCTTTATGTGAAAGTTCGCTTAGGAGACTGAGTCGGACATCCACCAATCTCAGCTTGATGAACATCAACTCTATAAAAAATTGTAATGATCGAGTCAGATATGCATCATAAATGAATTCTTCTAATACAATTATTCTTCTGACCGATACCTATGTGGTCAATTCAGCAGCCAAATCTTTGTATAAAAGTTCGGAGACTAGAACTGACATCCACCAACCTCAGCTTGTTAACTATCAACTCTATAAACAACTATTTTGATTATCAACTCGGATGTAAAGTTGCATTATGTATAAATTCTTCTGATACTATTACTCTTCTAACCGATACCTTCGTGGTCAAAACAGCAGCGTTTTCTTTATGTGAAAGTTCGTTTAGGAGACTGAGACAGACATCCACCAACCTCAGGTTGTTAACTATCAACTCTATAAACAATTATTTTGATGATCAACTGGGATATAAGGTTTCATCATAAATGAATTCTTCCGATACTATTATTCTTCTGACCGATACCTATGTGGTCAATACAGCAGCGTTTTTTTTTATGTGAATGTTCGCTTAGGAGACTGAGACAGACCTCCACCAACCTCAGGTTGTTAACTATCAACTCTATAAACAATTATTTTGATGATCAACTCGGGTGTAAAGTTGCATCATGAATAAATTCTTCTGATACTATCATTCTTCAAACCGATACCTATGTGGTCAATACAGAAGCGTTTTCTTTTTGTGAATGTTCGCTTAGGAGACTGAGACAGACATCCACCAACTTCAGCTTGTTAACTATCATTTCTAGAAACAATCATCTTGACGATCAAGTCACATATAGAATTGGATTATAAATCAATTTTCCTGATACAATTATTATACCAGTCTTACCGATACCTACATGGTAAATCATGCACCTTTGAGTTTGGACAAGAAATTCAAAATCTCACCTTCGAACAACTTGTAGATTCTGAGGAATGAGTACGAAACCTTTCCCCCAGAATATCAATCTGGTGCTAGAAGCTCCGTTTTATTCATAAAAAATATCCTAGGATGTGACTGTCATACACAAATAAAAACTGATAGTCGTTCTATAATATAATCTCAGTATAATACTTTTAGTTCAAAGTCTTGAAAATTTAAGAGAAATATTACCAAAGATTTCAGTATACAGATACGTACACTCTCTCAGATTTTAGTAATTACAGTAGGAGTTGCAGCGATTGGGCTATCCCCACTCTTCCGTTCCATACTTGATGACGCGTAAGTCCAGGGCCTACTCTATCTTACCGGGCCGGAGCATCGCTTTCGTGACGTCACACTAGTAGGGACAAAATCAACGCAGTGGAAACTGTCTCTCCCGTTTTATTGATGTACCTCGGGATAACGGTTACAGTTAGCAAAAAATATCAAGAGGTCAAATTTGTACAGAACAGTATTCTCCAAAAGATGAACTAACTTCCACTGATTTACGATCATTAGTTTCAGAAATATCGCATATCAAAATTAATTGACGCCATTCAGAATTGTTCTTTTTTAAACAGCTACCAAAATTCCAATAATCAATTCACAAAAATGATTCAATCATGAGAAGATTTCTCATAATATCTAGATTGACTGAGTTTTTTTTTCAAATTCCCAAGGGCCAATAACAAACCGATATTTCAATTCAAGTAGAACGATGATTCAGGTGTTTATTACAGAATAGTTCAAAAAGTTCGGACGCCTTCCATGCTAATCCTATCAATTGTGGATATATGCTGTCACTGACTTTTTTGTAGGAAATTTAATTGCCTACAAATCGGTATAATACACATCCACTTTATCTCAAAGGATTTTAGCAGCGTTTATGTCTAAAGATGATCAGGGCGCACTTTGAGGACGTTAGAAATCCTATCACTCGAGTGTGTTATTACACAAAAACACCTATTCGGTATTAAATATTTTCTGCTGAAGAGTATATATTTCAAGAATAACGTTGAATTCATGAAGAAAATTTGATTTGGATATATTTCCTAACTATCAAAATTAAAAAGAACAAAATATATGGAGTTCATATGAAAACAACCAAACAAAAATAATTGGAAAAATATGGATTTCGACAATGAGAGATATAAAAGTGAATATAATGAACTGAATAACAAAAAACCCAGAAAAACGATATATGAATAAATGAGGAAGAAATAGAAAAAAAATTGAATCCTTAATACAAACAAAACCAAACAAAATAGACTGTGAAAATGATCAACATAACAAAATAAAAAAAATTAATAGATATCACAAAATGAAATGCACTAATAACAAAAAAAATATGTATACATCTGAATCACAAACTAAAAATTGAAATCTTGACTATATCTCATCCTGAAAGTTTATATAAAGATTTTTCTTTTTATTGGACTTAATCCCACTATTTTTGATTTTGAATTGTTCAACAAAATATTTGAAATGGTTTTGGAGAATATTGTTCTGATGATTCCATCAAAAGGCCCACAACTGCAACATCGATTCTCGAAATAATTGAGAAGGGAATTGATTTTAATTTCTGCTAAATTCTCCAAAACTTTATGTGTGACTTACATTGTAGAAATATTGTTTCCAATTTTTCAGACACCAATATTGGTACGTCTGAACCATACGCCATTCAAAATAAAATGAGTAATAAAAAGTATATCGCCCTTTACCAGTCTAAGGAATTGCCGCGAAATCGTAATACAGCGAAATTTGGAATGGCCCATATTTACGCGCTCTTTATATTCAATTTCTTTCGGACTCACTGTAGGTAACTATACAATTTTTTCACTATTCAATTGATGCATTATCCTAGTTTGATATACTGAGCTAGTTTTGTCTTATTCCGATTCCAAATTTGAAAAAAATACTATTCTGTAGTACAACGTCCTGATTTTCAATAAAATGAACACAACGCCATAACTCGGTATTGATTCATCCTATTGGATTCATTTTTTCACCAAAATTTGGGGAATTCATTGGGGATCATTTCGTCTCGATTGAGTGTGCTTCTAAAATTTATGGTAAATGAGCTATGGCCTATCAATTACGAACGCGCCAGTATGAACTGATGTGAAATATCAACCTACTAGTGTGACGTCAGCGTCGAGAGAGGGGGGATAGACTACGGCCCGGTAAGATAGAGTAGGCCCTGGTAAGTCACGCATGCGTAACACATGATCGATACATGTGAAGAAGTATAAAAACCTGAGATGAATGAAGGAACGTGTTTCGTGATAAATCAGTACAGTTGAGCTGAAGGTGATTGTGGAATTGATTAGCATTGTCATCTTACCGATAAGAAAACATATCCCTTCCTTGCTGGGACACTGCCATTTACCTAACTGACTGTTCTGTTTTTCTTTTCCATTTTTTCATGCCGAATCTTCCTATGGCTAGTATGTAGTGAAATGCGTGATAGTAGCCATTAAGACGATCGGCAATATCATGCTGGTTACCTACCTTCTGCAGTTCATGTTCGCTGTGATAGGAGTGCAACTGTTCAAGGTAAATTCTCTCGAGCTTCCTACCTGCACAATGACGGTGTAGATCTGCAATCTGCAATAGAGAAGATCAGCCAGCGTCGAGAGAGAACAAACTATGTCTTTCCCTTATGTCCTTGTCTCCACATGAAATTCGAACATTGAAGACAAGGATAGAAGGGCGAGACATATTCTTTCTCTCTCAGCGCCATCTGAACTTTTTCTGTTTCTGCATGTTCTGGCTGCAGTTATAGTCGGATTAGCGGCATGCGTAGAAATTGCGCCGCGTTGCCAGATCACGCTCAATTAAAAAACCGTCGTCTTGTCCGTTGTCTGTCTGGCTGACGGTCTGCCGCCATTTCGTGTCAATGTGGCCGCTGTCAATGTGGTGCGACCTCTCTGTCAATGTGATGCGACCTATCTGTCAATGTGATGCGGCATCGCTGTCATTTTGATTCTGATGTCGGTTCGGAGCGTTTTTGTCGATGCGATGTTGGTAAGCTTCTGAAGTAGTTCTTCGTACGGCTCTGCTTTTATGGTGAACCGTGGGAACTGTTACAAATATGAAAAGCTTTCGACTAGATCCATATTGAATTGACATGACTATATACCTAAGCAGATTGGTTTCAATATGTTTCAAAGAGTACTGTATTCATAGAAGGTAGTAGGAAAAATAAATTGATTTGGGATTGAAAACTATTGTTTATTCAAATAGAGATAAAATTGACTAACTGAAGTAACTGAAGATGACAGGTGAATTGCTCATGCTAAACTATCAAGCTTCACTTGCTATGTCAAGGAACACACTTTTCTCTATAACAATTATTATCAGGAAATATTTTAAGACTAGAATAGAGTATGATGATCACAGTTCACCATATTAAGCATGAATAAAGGGTTGGTTTCACAATTTATGGTTAACTTTCAGTTTGACGTTCTTCGTTTTGATATTTAGTTTTTTATCATGGAAGTCTCATCCAATTCTGCCATATCACCCAAATCCGCTATTATTCTAATGAATTCAATGAAATGGTGAAGGTGTATTGAATCACTTTAGGTCACGGACATAAAACATAGCCTACTATCTCGACCGCTCATTCATTCACTAGACACTAGACACTAGAACGAACTGGATCTCATGGAGCTTGCGCATCAAGGACCGGTCATATATTTCACTCTCAATCATGTTTCCGACCGCTAAAAGTAAAAAAAGTTGATACTTTCAATCCTTATGCACATTCAGCATGTTTTCAGGCGAGCAATTCGGATGAGATTTTCGAGTTGGGATATGACATATAGCGATCTAGAAAGTAGGTTATGTCGGTCACAGCCTCATGTTGGTAGTTACAGGATCTTCACGTTCATTTTGAGACCTCCTCCTGGCTGAAAGAGCTAAGGGGTTGATCCGGTTTGATCTTTAAATACTGCTTTGGACTGGGATCCGATATCATATCATAGGTCACGTGATATGAAAATGAAGATGAGTTTTTGATTCAATTATTTTTTCACTGTGCCGCTTTTCCAAAACCCGTACAAGTTTCGACTTATGGATGAAATAATCTTGTTAATCAGAATTCAAAGGGAATATGGCAGAGGAAATGAGAAAATGCATAGGATATTTCAATTAAAAAAAACATTTTCTTTATCATATCATGTGACCTGTGTGGTTCAACTGTTTCTTCAGTGGAATTTGAGGAAAGGATAGATGAAATCCTACAACTTATTATGGAATAAAATTAAAAACAGTGAAGGGGAAGAGGAGGTTACAAATACGTGAAGACACTGCAACATCATAAAATATTGCTCGATTTTTGTAGTATGTGGACCTATTGATTGTGAAACCGGGCCGATATCATAGCATTGTACACCATAAGTCTTGACGTCTACACACTTTTAACATTGTACTTAGTGTAAGCAGGAGCGTTTGTTCAACTTATATAAGTCTCATTTCTATTCTGTTACTATTACTAGTTATGACTACAAGTGATCGCATTTACCTTGTTTAATTATTGGAGTTGAAGTTGCACGAAATTTTGCACGACGTCTGTCACTTTCTAACACCTCTGGCTTCTCGTTCGATTCATTCGTTATTTGTGCATGAAATCCACATTTGCATTGGTTGAACAATCATATTTCTCATGGTATAAAATAATGATATGTTTTTTAAATGAATCTAGGGAAAGTTGTCGCACTGTACTGATCGTTCCAAGATGACGGCAGCCGAATGCAAGTAAGTCAGAACCTCAAATGTACACTGTTTTTCCTGAGTACCTGCGGAAAATAGTTTCAGTTTCACAGTTCGTTAATATCACTGACCTATAAACAAGAAATGGAAGGGCGATAAATTAAACTCGCGCATATCACGTGATCGGCTTGGGAGAGTTGGTTGACTAGCATGCGCAGTGTGCATATACTGGACAGGCCTTGGATGACAAAAAGAAGATCGATGATAAAATAGAAAGACACTTTCCTAACAAAAATGCAAAACATAGATCAAAGATATGCAGTGCTGACGTTAATGCACAACTGCGCAGATGCCGCAGCCAATTTCAATGCTCGCTTGCTGGCCGTAAATTTATCTCGCGCATTCCGATTTTTGTCTTTTCATTTGTTGTTTGTAAGGAAGTGGTTAATATCTCAGTGAGGTCAGTACGTTTTGTGGAATTTTGATATTCTTCTAGATGAAGCAAGTAGAAATAAAACATTCATGGATCCTAAGTTTTTAGTATTACAGTAGTACCGGGTGGTCGATTTAAGACTATACAGTGTGTCCCACTTACCATGCTCACCATGGGTATCTTTTTAACGGTGAGAGATACGGGGTCGGTTAAATGACACCAAATGTGGAGTTTGTCAAGGCCAACTATAATGTGAAAAAATATTTTGATAAAATCTGTTCGTTTTTGTTTTATACGCAAAAAACAGATTTTGATCATTTTCATGTCTCCTCCGTAACTTCTTTATTTATGAAAATATTCAAATAGGAATTTCACATTCTCATGGCAGTTTTTCAAAGTGATTCAGAGAAAAATATGGAATTTATACCAACTCTTCTAGAATTTGAGATATCAGCACCAACTTTGGTTTTTCAAATGTAGGTCATAGCTCACTATGACCTAGTTAAAAATAACTTTTTTTTCTCTTACAGATGATGTTTCGCAGTAATAGTTTTGTGTTGATAACAACGGAGTTATCGTCATTTATACAAAAACAAAAAATTATTTGGAAGCCGCCATCTTGAATTTATAAATTTTAACAAAAAAATCATGATATCCGACCTCGAAAACCCCCACTTATCAATTTTGGATGGAATCGGACCAAATCATGTCCGCCATCTTGGAGGTGTGTAAAACTGGTGTCGGGTATTGAATTTCATTGGAAAACTGGTTCACATAGTTTAGAGCTCAGTGCAACAACAATTCTCGCACGAGCTCTAATAGGTCGTGCGAAGTCAGTATGCACTTTGAAAATGGCCGAAACATTGAATATGAATAGTTTGAAAACCAAATTGTTAGAGGCAATCCAATCATCATCATCAAATAGTGATGAAGAGTTGAAGGTTTCAAGAAAATGAAGGAGATTACTTTCTAGAATAGATAATTTCATATTTATTCAATGATGAAGAGGTACTTTTTGAAGAATAAAGTGCTCAACATCATTTCCATGAAACATCTACTTTGTTTTTATCTGAAGATAAGAAATAATTCCCGGTTTCGGACAAGTTATAAACAAAGACAAACTTATTACTTATACGATTTAACCTCCAACAATAATTTTATTATAATATTATTTCGTATTCCATTGGGAATGCACCAGTTCACATTTTGGAGATAACTACAGTAGTGCGGGTGCAAAGCTGGTGCCAAACCAGTGCACCACCAGGTCATCCCTCTATTCTCTAGAGCAAACCCCTTCTATAATTTGAATAGATAACAATAAGGGTTACACATCATTGAAAGGGTAATTCAATTCTGATATCAGCAAGTTTTGTGAATTCCAACATGCCGTTTTCGAGAAATTCGAGGGCAAATTCAATGTTTTTGAATGGTAAGTTCATGAATGTAGGGAATGAACACAACAAATGTTCATTTACAAATTCCTCTTGCACATTTGAACATATTTCTCTGGCTATTGCCTGGCATTCAATCCTCATTCGTCTCTCTAAATCGTACAGATCAGTAGATTCCGTTTTATAAATGACGAATTTCGAATGACCCCCAAGAAAAAAATCCTGTCAATTCCGGCAAACGAGCTGACCATTTTATTGGTCCGCTACGACCCAGCGAGCACAAAAACATCTCAGAGATATTAAAAGTACCAGATTTCGAGACATTGAACTTCCATTGCGATGTTCTGTTCACACATGAATAGAACTATTATAGAACAGCCAATGTCCGCCGCAGGCGGCAATTATCGAGATGTCCTTGATATGTCACAAAACTACCTTCTCCCTAGTTCTTTTCAAAGCCTTTTCATGGACACAACAGAACATTTTCAACGCGTCTTGCGCACATTAAATCGCTGTAAAAAAACCATTTTCGAGGTACTTTTCTGAAGCCTTTTGTCAAAATGAACTTTTGCATTAGGATTCCATTTTCCTTGAATGAAAAAATGCATTAAGAATAGATTGAACATAAAAATATTTTCTTGATATGCAATTACCTTCTTAATCGGTTTCTGAGGAGTGCTTACTACACACAGACATATAATTGGAAATAGGTTTCCCAATTTCTGAAATGTTCTCCACAATGCATAATTTTGCAACTGCGGAGAAGCTGTGTATTGATGAATTCGTACTTTTATATATTGATTACACTGAGGTACCGAACAACACATCTTGCATCTGATGGTCATTATTACAAACTAAATAAGTCTTCTAACACAATAAACTTCACCAAATTCCTTTCTGTTCGTTAGCAGCGTGATGTAATAAGCGTTACACGCTGCAAACGCGAATGCCAATTGCGAACAAGAAGAACAAAATCGAAAAAAATCGGAATTCATCGTATTGTGACGTAAGGATGAAACGTTGTGGTGGAGCAAACAAAGAAAGGGCACAAAAGAACAAAAACAATACTATCAATATCCTTCTAAGACCTCTTTGGGAAGTGCATATTACGCCTCAAAAAAACATCCTCATGCCTACATTTCTAAAACATCCCAAAACATCCCAGGGATACCTCTCAGTAGGTAAACAAGGAAATGCCACAGAAGAACAAAAACAATACTTCAATATCCTTCAAAGACCTCTTTGGTCAGTGCATATTACGTCTCAAAATAACATCTTCATGCCAACATTTTCAAAACATCCCAAACATCCCAGGGATGTTTGTGCTCGCTGGGGACCTATCCATTGTTATGAGAAATTTTGGGGTAGCTATTATTTCACCTGTAAAACAGAATATATAAGTAGCGCACTATCTTGTTGAAAATTATTACCATCAATCTGCTAATAGATTTCATTTACCATCATCATCGGGGTCCGTTGGAGAATGGCTATCCCAAAATTTCCCGAAAAAATGGATAGGTCGTAGAGGACCAATAGAATGGTCAGCACGTTTGCCGGAGGTAATTGGCACCCAATGATTTCTTTCTATCGAGTAATGTTTGGAATATTTCCAACAATTAAACGGAACCTACGGACCTGAACGATTTGGAAAGAAGAATAAGGATTGAGCCAGACAATAACAATTTGAATAACATCTTCAAATGTGCAAGAGAAATTCACAAATTGACTCCACCACTGTCTGGGGTCAATGAAGGTCATTCTGAATATTTGATATGTATACCTATTCAATAATCCATCCCGTTACATTCATTCAAATACAATTAGAGAACATACCATTTGAACTCGAATATCTCGAGAACGCCTTCTAATAACACAATAACATCTGTAAGACGTCTTAGAAACATCCATATGGGATGATAGGAACATCTCTGGAAAATCCCTATTTTCCTTGGGACATTCTTGGGATGTTGCTGGCAACACCCGTGTCAGCATTTGCGATGTCTTATAAACATCCCATCAGAATGTTTGTGGGATGATACGGGATGTACCAGAGACATTCAGGGTACTTGATATGAAACATCTTAAAGAAACTTTCAGGATGTTTTTTGTTTGATGACAGTAGTGGATGACACGGTATGAATTATTTTCATTCTGAAATCCTGAAAATGGCCGACCTATTTCCAGATATAAAGTAACAATCCGAATCCGAGAATATAAGGTCGGTGCGGTCCAATAACTAATGGAAGATGATAACAGTTGTTTGAGGCTCATATTTGCTGGCGCTGGGCCGACGGCTGTCAGTAACTCTTAGCAACGTAGTTGTACCGCCATCTATCGGCTGGTATAACAAATAAATTCAGCAATAAATATTCTGAAGAAATATATTTCAATTTTGTCGTTTATTACATGAAGTTAAGCAGGTACTTTGGTAATCTTATTGAGGAATATTAAGTATAATCATTTCAATTTGTTATCGATGAAATTACCCGGCTCTGGTATAAATATAAGTATATGAGTACGAATACAGTTTTTATTTCTATTTTTTACCAACTTTCCAATGTTGTTTATAAAAAAAGATCAAATGGGATGTTTCTAGAACAACCAATGGAAACATCTGATGGATTTCCCAAGAGAAACATCTCTGGGATATCGTACCTAATTCTGAAACATTGGGACATATGTAGGACCTTAGCGGGATGTACCAGCAAGATCCCGTGTTGTTAGGGTTGAACTCGAATATCTCGAGAACGCCTTGTTGGAATTCAAGAAACTCTGCACTGCTGGTGTCAGAATCAAATTACCTTTGCAATGATGTATAACATGGCCCTTATTCTAGCATATTCAAATTAGAGAGGGGGTTGCTATGGGGAGTAGAGGGTTGAACTATGTATTATCTATTTTGCGTCAAACTGTGTCCCTGTTCAATTCAAGAACGACTTGTTTCGTTATTGTTTTGTAAAATCATTATTCTAGGAGTGAGTTATCGAAGGTGGAAAGGCTTAAGTAAATGGACCACCCGGTATGTACAAAACTGTACCATCTCGCAATCAATTACCGGATTTTCTGCACGTAGTCAGGTATTTCAGCTTGGTGACTATACAGGGTGTAACGAAATTACATCGAAAGATTTCAATCACAGATTCTAGGAACAGATATAGTGAAAAAAGTTCATATAAACATGGGTCCAGAAAAGCCCTTTTGTGGGGTTAGAGCTATCTGTG